TACATCACATTTGTGGATGTTTTTGCAGCAAAGGAAAATACCCCTGAACAAATAACTTCTGGATTATCCATGTATATTGGAAGGTATTCGCCCACTCTCCCTTCCACACCTGTTCAGCCTGCATGTCTATCCATGCATCAATTAATAGAGTATGGGTATCATAGGATTGGGTATATAACACTGTTTACCTCTGTTGCCTTTACCTCTTGCCTGCCTTCAGTGTCTTCTCTGCTTACATAATTTTTTGTCAACTTCCTTCTAAGAGTACATTGACTTCCCATCACCCAAGTTCTTGAAATCTACTTTACTTCCTGTCCATTCAGAAGTTCTGTCACTGCTCTATTCTCTTTTTACTTTGTAATTGTCTTCATTACAAATTTATATCTCTGGTTCCCTGTCATGAATCTCATAGATTTGTTTTACTTTGGATACCGCTATATCTGGGTCAACTGCTGGGTGTTGTTGTCATGGATGTCACCTCAGATTGTTGTCTGCTGTTGTGGGTTTTCTGAGTGAAGAACTCCCTGTGGTATGTTTTGAAAGGCTGGCTTGGTTTTGAAAATTCTTTAATTTTTGTTTATCTGAAAGTGTCCTAATATCATATTTCGGGGATATTTTTTCTGGGTATATGGTTCTTGGTTGGCAATTGTTTTCTTTCAGAGTTTTGGATGTGTCATCTCATGGTCTTCTTTCCTATATAATTCCTGCTAAGAAAATTTCATTTTTTGAGTTACCTTTTCAGGATTTTTCCTTGTCTTTGGTTTTGGGAAGTTTGATTCTAATTTGGCGTGGTTATTTTCTTTTAGGGCTTATCCTGATTTGGCTTTTGTTCAAGCTTATTGAATGCACTTTTCCACTTTCATCATGTTAGGAAATTATTTTCTTTGCTTTGGTCAGTATTTTTCCCAGTCCTTTGATGGAGTCTAAATACCATGTTTTAAAGATTTCTTATCAGATAGTTCTAGTCCCGTTTCTTCCTTGGAGAGATCTTCTTGACCTGTGCTTTGGGCCCTTGTTTGGGACACTCTATCTTTTTTATTTGTGTGAGCTGAAATGGTTGTCTCTGAGATATTGTGGTATAGGTGTATTTACGGTATTTGATGGTTGTTATGTGGGTGTGTTCCTAGAAACTCACTGCCTGTCTCTTGGTGGGCATGAAAGAAAATGAGTGTGTGCACAGTTCTGTTTGAAGGCAGATTTTATTGGTGTTGGGTGCTGCTACCAGTGATCAAGAGGTACAGGCGTGATTGGGCAATGAGGGCAAGTGGATGTTTCCCATTAGGTGAGACAAGAAAAAACAAACAAGAGCAAATAAAAATAAAATAATAATAAAAATAAAAGAACTTTAAGACAAAGGAATTTTATGAGAGTAGTGCTACCATGAGGGCAGGGGGAAGATGTGAGAGAAGGGGGAGGAAAGGGGGAAATGATTGTAATGATTGGTGTACAACAACCACACCCCACACACACCCGGAGAGGAAAAACAGAAATGTGGGTAAAGGGAGACAGTGGGTGGTGTAAAATATGAAAATAATAATAATTTCTAAATTATCAAGGGTTCACAAAGGTGGGAGGGTGGGGGATGGAGGGGGAACAAGATGTACTGATACCAAGGGCTTAAGTAGAAATAAAATGTTTGGAAATGATGTTGGCAACATATGTACAAATGTGCTTGATACAATTGTGTGTGGATTGCTATAAGAGCTTTAAGCACCCCCAATAAAATGATTTATTAAAATAAAATAGAAAACCAAAAAAAGACAAAAGAATTCAGTAACTACAAAGAAGGAAAAAAGAAGGAGGGAAAATAAAAACAAAGGAAGTGATAAGCAAGAAAGAAAAACATAATAAACAAAACTAAGAAGGAGGGAAAGGAAAAGAAAGTAGTGAAGAGAAAAACTAAGAAAAGACAAAAGAAAGAAGAAGGGAAAAGGAAAATAAACAGTAGAAAAAAAGAAAAAGGACAGCAGAGGATGAAAAGATTAAAACAAGGCAAGGGAAAGAAAGGGGGAAAAACCCCACCAAAGGATTAAAAACTTAAGTTGGGGCTGAACCCAGAGTGGAGGAAAAAAAATGGAGCTTGGTACCCAGTGTGAGTAAGCACACTCTTCCAGTCAAAGGTGAGGGTTTGGGATGCTTGGTCTTAAGTGGAGTTTTTGCTAGTCTGTATGTTGTCTGGGGCCCGGGCACAATATCAGGAAATAATTCATGGTGGCTTGGAAGGTGACTAAGGTCAGGGTGCTTGTTTCCCAAAGGAACTCTTTCAGGTTCAGAGGGCAGTTGGGATGGGGGAAGGGGCAGGCAGGGTAACTAGTTATACAAGTTCTTGCCTACCCAAGGGTGGCCAGGGACTTAGCACAGTATGTTCTGTGAGTCAGACAAGTTAATGTGCTTCCAAATAAAAGTGTAGTCTATCAGTGCCAGATCCATGAGAGCATGACAGGCAGAGCAGGGCGGGAGTGTCACTGGCCCACTGTGTGAGTGAGGGTGGTGGTTGACCGTGCTTCTGGTCACCAGAGTGGAGAAGAAGGGAGGATCTCACTATTTCACCTGTCACCGATGTGTGCCTGGGTTGTCAGATGTCAGTTATGAGTTTTAAAAATCATTACTTTTTAAATGAAAACAACTTAACTAAAAATTCATTATAGAATTTTGAGATTCGCTAAAACAAAGTTCAATGAGCAAAACAAAAATTAGACAATAAAAACTTTATGGATTACAACAGAACACTACCAGTTTATGTGTTTGGGACCCATCATCAAAAGTGATCAATCACTAGAGGAGGATAGTATGCTTGGTGTCGGGACAGGCCAGTGAGGCTGTGGAGACCGTCAGTGACATGTGATTAGGAAGATAATATGGAACCTGGCAATGTTTCATTCAGGAGAGTGAGTTGACTTAACACCAATTACCGCCCCTTTTCTGCCATAGAGGAGGCCTGGTGGGGTAATGGTTATTAGTTGGGCTGAGATCCACAAGGTCAGAAGTTTGAAACCACCAACCACTCCTCAAGAGAAAGA